CAGCAGCCTGTGGCCCTGACTCGGCAGGGAGGGCACAGCGAGCCCTTTGAGGAGGGAGCAGCAAAAGGTCCTTTGTAGGAAACCAATCACAGTGCTGTCGCCCGCTGCTCTGCCCTGGACATGGAGCTTCAGACATCTGGGAAGCGCGCTCCTCCCTGTTCGCCTGCCGGCTTCCGGGTGAGAGGAGCTGCACCGCGCCTTTCTTGTCTGCATTCCGAATCTCCTCTGAGTTGCCATTATGCGGGCTTAGTTCCCCAGACCCCTGACGTCCAGAATCTTGCTGCGTAACCTGCCCGACGGGAAGCTGCTGCGCGCCTGTCTCCCTGCGGTGCTGGCTGCGCCCAGTCTCCGGGAAGAGGGAGTAGAGGGACTTGGGATCCACCAGTGCCCTGGGCGTCGCGGGCACCTGGCTGCAGAGAGTCAGGCCCCTGGGACCAGTGAACGAGCTGCTGCTCATTTTCAGCCAGTACACTTAAGAGGCCTTCTCAGCTGCTCTTTTTTATCCCAGAATATTATCTTATTTCTTCCTCCGCTGCTTGCTTTTTTGAAATAGGATCTTGCTGTGAGTCTAGGCTGGTCCTCAGCTCATAGCAGGCCTCCAGCCCTCCGTCAAGCTCCCGAGCGCTGCGATCATAGGCGTGCACACCGCATCCGGTGTGCTATTGTAAAATGTTCTCAGTTAAAATGGCAAATGTTGTTACATATTTATCAAATTTTAAAAATGAATAATGCACTATATCAAAAAGTAAATATACTTTAAACAATAGTATATTATAGTAATGAATTCTATCACAATAAAACTGTTTGCTTTTTTTAACCTCTCCATTATTTTTAAAAGTGTACAGTTCAGCGTGATATTTTATACACTCGCAGCGCTGTGCAGTGTAATCGCGGCCTACCGCAGGATATTTCCATCATCCCAAGAGGAAAAGCCGCAGCCGCGGAGCGGTCTCCACTGCCTTCCTCTCCAGGCCTGAGAAAGGTGTTCGTAAAACTGCTCAAAATAAGACAGATGTCCAATGTTTGGCATGAAAGGAGTCACAGTAAATATCTTGGTCCTTAATACATTAATGTAGCATTCTCTAGGTGTGTTTTTAGCCGAAGTAAGGCTTTTTTCACTAAATACTCAGGAATTTCCTTAGAAAACATAGCCTTAGGTCTTCCAAGAAGAAAAAAAAGAAAAAGAAAAAAGGGCAAAACTAAAACTAGTTACATAATTACGAAGTTTTTGTTCCTCCCTAGCTCAACAGTCCTATTTTAGCCTTTGGGAGATAGACAAATCTCTCGCATTTGCCACAGTTTTTCCTCACATCTCGTCTCCCTTGCTCTTGCTTTCCCTTCCTGAAATAACAAGCCCTCTCCTGGATGCTCCGGGGCAGCGCACCGCCCCTGAGTCCGCCCAGGTTCACCTTTTCCCAGCTCTCACTGCCCCCGCCCCCTTGGGCAGCCATACAGAGGTGAGCGCGCAGGAAGGGGCTGCAGGGAGGCAGCATTCCCAGGAGATGCCCGCCGGGTGGGAAAGATTAGCTCATTCGTCTGAAGGAATGAATCTGAGTGTGGGAAATTAGCTCAGGTAATTTTGGGCTGATGGGCTTTTCCACCCATCTGGAATGTAACTTCAGCAAACAGTTTGCTCCTGAAGCCATCACACTAGCATATCTATCTTCCCCTGGGAGCTACAGTTCTGTATTCCAGGAAGATGGCCCTGGGATGTGATGGTGCCGTTGGCCACAACTCTGCACGCATCAGCCTACTTGGTCTGAAAATGAACACTGAGAAAATCTCCATCCCTGGAGAACCAACAGTACCACTGGGGAAGCACAAGTCCATGTCCCTTTCTGCTTACAAAGCAGGGCTGGAAGATTAACAGCTTTTAAATTCACTGAACTCAATGAGGAGGTACCACTTCAGTGCTTTGCAACATGCATCTGTGTTCAACTGGTCAGTCAGCAGCAGTGACAGAGCTGGAAGTGAGACTGACTTTGAAAACCCCTATCGAAGGCCTCAGTCACCACCTGGAATGGTATCTTCTTATCTGTCCTGATGGATGAGAAAGCCCAGAAAAGCGTTCCATGGCTCCCAAAGTCCCTCCTCTGTCTAGGACTGTGGAATTTCAGTGCAGGGAAAGTCACACCCAGCAGTCAACATCACCCCGCCTAAAAGTGACTCAGGCAATTCTGCTTTATTCTTTTCAGAGCTTGACTGGTAGAGTCAACCATCTTTCTTTTGAGTACAATATTTATTACACAAAGGCACAGGTTAGAATCTATGATCATCATAGAAAACTGATTCAAAATTGTATAACTTAACTCAATGAAGTCATTATCCTGGTGCTGTATTGAGAACGCTTTGGTAGGAGGGGTGTCCTTTGGCTGTTGGGCTTCCCCTCACCCCAGCACACCCCCAAGGACCCCCTTGGTAGCTGCCAGTTACATCAGGAACTCAGCAGCCACATTATTCATTTTCTGTTTTGGCTTTTGTTTGACTTTTGTGGTGCTGAGGGTGGAACCCAGACCTTGCGCGTACTGGGCAAGCGCTGTACCCCTGAGCTATCCCACTGGCTCTGTCCTTTGCTACTTAACCAAGTGCAAGCACTTTGGCTCAGGACTGTAATCTGAAACAGACCCCCGCCCTCCTCTCCTGTAGTCTGCTCCTGTTCATCTGTGTGGCAACTTGCTGGGAGGGTCTCCACTGATCCTGCCGACCTCAGTCCTCCTCAACCTGCGCAGCTCCTATTGCACCTGTGCCTCCTTACTTTCCCTTGTGAGGGGATTACTATGATCATCCTTGTTCTACCAAGGAGGAAACCAGGGTGCTAGCCAGTACAGTGATAGGGCTTGTACAGGGGCAGAAAGTCAGAAGTAGACGGGGTGATAAGTAGCTACTTGAGGAAGCCGGCCCAGATGTCTAAAAAGGGGAAGGAATCTTTCTCTCTCTTACTTCTCCATATCGAGACCCACTTTGTCCGGACACCAAGAAGTCAGGATCCATGAAAAGACTCAGCTAGTCAGTTAAGAAATCCTTTCAGGTTCTGACCATAAAAAATGATAAGTTTGTGAGGTAATGCATATGCTAATTAGCTCTACTTAACTATTCCACGATGGATATATACTTCAAAACATGTTATACATGATAAACACATACTTTTTGCAGAGAGGGCATACTGTGAACAGAATCAGGGCCAGTCCATTATTTTTGCTTTGTTTTGTTTTGTTTTGTTTTGAGACAGGGTCTAAGTCATTAAGTTTTTCCAGGTTTGCCTCAAACTTGTGACTCTCCTGCCTCAGCCTCCCATAGTCCTGGGATTGCTGGCACATGCCATTGTGCCCAACAGCACATTTGTTTTTTATTTGTCAATTATTAAAAATTCATTTAAAAAATAAATTATTGGTAGAACATCATTTATGTTGACCAATCCATTTAAAAATGATGTTTAGGAGAACTGTTGCTGATTCCACATTTTTTGTGTCATCAGAGTTTCAGTGCTGCTCATGGCACATTGGTTCCAGAAGACAGAGCCATGTACTCCTTCTGCTCTTAATACTACCCAGAGGTCTGAGGCATGTAACAGCACCTGAGTGATATTCTCCCAAATAAACTTCCATAAAAGGTGGATTTGTAAATGAAAGAAAGAAGACGGCACACATATGTGGAACAAACACTGTATGCAGCCCATGATCCTTGGTTATGATGTTGGCATGACTTTCATCTCCAAAATCCTGGAATGATTGGGCAGAAAAATAAGTCAGCTTTTGCCCATGTTATCACTTGGTTTGAGAAGTGACTCCTCCACTTTGAAAAATGTGTAACCTGGAGCTTAGTGCCCCGTGAGTTCCATTCAAGTACCACAAAAAATTAAAAAATAAAAATCAATAAGATGCCTAAAATATGTGACCTAGGCTAGTTACTTACACTGTCTTGAGTCTCACTTTCTTTAAATACACAATGGGCTTTGAGGCAGGAGATTAGTTCATGGTAAACTGGCTGGGAAGGTGGATGTGACCTAGGAATGATCACAAAGTTCCGGGTCACACATGCAGAGCAGAGCCAGAAGCCCAGAATCTGGAACCAGAGAATGCCAGCTTCAACTCTTCTCCTGAGAACTCAAGCACAGCACAGCCTAGAGCTGACACCAGCCTGAGGAGAGGGTATGGACAGCCTGCACCAGCTCAGGGACACATCGCTCTTCCATAGCAGTCAGCTGTCACCCTGCGGGGCACTTACTCTTAATTGGCCCACACTTGCTCTGCAGAGTATGTTTCTTTTCCGACCCTTAATACATGTATAACCTCAATACTTTCTCACTTGTCTTGAATGATTCTTTGCTCAGGACAGAAAACTTAGAAACCACCTCTACAAGGAGACTCCAGCACTCTGAAACCAGGTAACATATCACTAGATAACTGTTTCTGGTAAATTTCATAGTGCAATATAGAATACACACCAACATTTAAATATGGGTATTTTATGTCATTTAATAAGCTTTTTTTTTTTTTTTATAATAGACCCTGGGGTATGAACCCAGGGTCTTCACACTGAGCTACCTCCTCAGCCCCTTTTCTCTTGTTAATTTTGAGACGTGGTGTTACTGAGTAGTTAAATTGCCCAGGCTGAGCTTGAATTTACAATCCTCCTGCCTCAGTCTCCAAGGGTGCTGGGGTTACAGACGCGTGCTATCACGCCTGGCTAAAGGTACATGTTTGGTTTTAGGTACCAGGGAGGAACTCATGGCCCCATGCTTGCTGGGCAGCCACTGCACTGCTGAGCTACACCTCCAGCACTCTTGCTGTCTCAGTGTCTTCCAACTCCTAGTCCTCTGTTAAGCCCTAGGAATAATAGATGACTATTTTCCTTACTAATTCCTCCAAATTGCTGAAATTTTTTTCAGATGGCTGACAAAGATATAAACACTGCCAGGTAACAGGAAATAGAAGTAGATAGCACAGATAAGACAGACGGGGCAAATGTGGAGGCAGGAAGCCCCTGAGTGGGCCACATACTTGCGTAGGGCGGCCACCCTTTTGCTCTGGAGCCTGCAAAGCCACCAGGAAATGGCAGAGTTGAACAAGACAGGACTTCCGACCTCCGGGAGCTCTGGGTCTGCTGGAGGAAACAGATGTGTAAACAAACAATTACAGTGCAATGTGAGGAAGGCAAAAGTGGAAGTTCTCTGGGGCAGAGGAAGAGATATCTGCAATCAGTGTTAAAGGACGAGAGGAATGCGGGGATGGGAAAGGATGGGAAGGGAGCATCTCAAAGACCTGCAGCCTCGAAGGGTGCTGCTCTCGGCTGGGCAAGCCAGGTAGCGTGTTCTTGAGACTTCATTAGAGAACTATGGGAAGGCACGCTGGTAATTGCTTATTTTTTTCAGTGAAACAGTGAAGGGGTTCATGGTAACTATTTTATGGCAGCAAGAACAATGGACATGGCTTCAAAGAAAAGAGACTAAATTAAGACATCAAAATAGGCAAAGTAGCAAAGGAAGAGAAGATCAGGAAGCCTTGAAACTCCACCTCTGATCATGTTGGCCCATTTCAATTAAGATTTCCTGGCAACCTTCTTGGAAGAGGAGGGCTCTAGGGTTAAGTGTAAGTATCAAGCAGTTCACAGGAGTCTCCATAAAACAGCACTGAAACAGTAAATCAAATGGAATTTGGGAACCTGTCAGATCATTAGGAATGACCAACTCCCACACTTGCATTTTAATTAGGGTAAAAGGAGTAAGTCAATGGCTAGAGGCGCTGGTGAATGAGGGGCTGGGTCAGACCCAAGCTGGCCTCTGAGATCATATATTTGAAAGCAGAGGAAACTATAGCTACCTACACCAAGCTACTTTGAAATTCTCCCACTTGCTGTAGACATATCCTCCCGTCTCTAGGTACCCAACACAAGAGTAACTCATTTTTCTTGTATTCACAGTATTCTGGGAGGCTGAGGCCCGAGTATGGTGAAGTGGACAATTTAGTGAGTTAGCAAGACCTTGTCTCAGAATAAAAAATAAAGGAGCTAGGGATGTAGTTCAGTGAGAAGGCCTTGGGTTTAATTCCCAGCATTGCAAAAGAAAGAAAAGAAGAAGAAGAAGAAGAAGAAGAAGAAGAAGAAGAAGAAGAATTGACTTGCAATAAAGAATGAATTACCAAAACTTGACAATTTTTTTTTTAACATTATATTGCAATTGACCCTACTGGCTTAAACTATCTTCTTAAAAATCCTTTGTCTTCTTGCTGATTTACCCTCTTTGAACAGTGGATCCTATACCCTCACTGCAGATGATTCCCACCTGGCTCTCACCCAGGGATTCAACCTCTGTGAGCATCTAGAAACTTGGAAGAACGTGGAGGCAGCTCCACACTCAAAGGAACTCTTTGTTGAAGTCTTCCAAAATAAAGCAAAGGAAAAAGCCATTCCCCAGCACACTCTTTCAGAATCTCTGTTTACATTCCCTGCATTGCAGCACTTGTTCTTTGCTCTGTTTAAGAGGATCACCTGTGCTTTGGAAACCAGTTGGGTTTTCCTGCAGGGGATGAGTGTGCAGCGTGGCCAGTGACGAGCTCTTACAGTAACTGTTTCCTCAGCCAGACCCGCCTCCCACAAGACTTCCCAGAAGCAGAGGCACAAAAACCCTCCGGGGTGGGCTGGCCAGGGAGCTGTCTCCCTAACCTCAGGGTAGGATCACAATTGTCCTGTTAAACTGCCTGTGCCTGCTGCCTTAGCAGCAGACTGGAGAAGCAGGCACAGAAATCTGAATAAATGAAAGGTATTCTATAGGAAACAAAGCAACACAGGTAAGCACACAGACTGGCCTCAAATTCACAGTGATCCTCCTGCCTCAGCCTCCCAAGTGCGAGGACTACAGGTGTGCACCACCACACCTAGCTTCTGCTCCATCATTTTAAGTGTTTTCATCTCCTCCTGAGATGAAAATTACACACCACCTGAGAGCTATCAAAGCCCCACTTTGGCTCCCTACTCTTGTACATGTCAAATACTGTACATTATGATTGGTAGGGTTAATGTATACCACTTTACAATTTATGAGGACCTTTTAGGGGCTGTAGCTCAGTGGTAGAGTATTTGCCTAACATGGGGAGGGCCTAGATTCCATGCTTATCACTACAAAAACATAACATAAAATATAAATGTCTGTTGAATTAACCCCTTGGCTCCACAAAAGAAGCAAGTGTTATTACCAGGAGAAACATGTATGAAAGCCAAGAAGCAGCGAGGCCATTAGCACAGTATTAAATCCTGCCTCTACCACATGACAAACTGCTCACCCTCCATGAATCTCTGTGGTCTCTCCTCAGTGCACTGGGGTCAGACGCGATTGCTCTGATAATGAGCATGTGTTCATTTATTATGTGTGCAACTGGAAACATGTTAACAGCCAGCATGGGAACACATGCCAGTATATCTAGTTACTAGGGAGGCTGAGGCAGAAAGGCAGAAAACATTCAACCACAGAAATAGCATTTTGGAGGACCGTGTCAGCATTGCTGGACAGATCCAGCACCAAAATTTTAGCCAGTGATCCCCAGAAGGAGTACAGAGTTCTTGGGGACTTCCAGTCTTTAGGCTGCAACATGGTGGCCATCGCCCTTGTCACATCATGGACAATATCAGGAGTGGTACAGTGAGGTGCCCAGCTGGTTAAGAAGTACTAAAGAAAATATTTCAACAGATGATCCCTGAACAACCAAAAAACCCCAAGAAGACAGGGCCGCTGTGACCCTGCTGTGGTGGAGGGTGTGTGACCCGTGTGGGGTCCGCTCTCCCAGCCATCCCCACCCCCTGGGCTGGAAGCAGAGTCACCGAGGAAGCTGCCACTCCGGCCAAGGCCAGGGTGCCCTGGGGTGGGATTTGTGCAGCAAACTGGCAAAAGAGAGTGAGTTTCCTTTCACACCTCTCACTTCCTTTTCTGAATCCCTTGTCGAATTTGGGGTTTTCCTCTCCACAGAAGCCACACACTTCCCTGGATCCTGTAGTTCAGTGTTCTTTTCTAAAGAAGTATGCATTTGCAGCGGTTCACAGCCCACTGCATCTGGCACCTCCGGTACCTCACACGAATGTGTTCCTGCATGCAGATGCAACCTTGTTTGTTTGTGACCAGCCGTGCTAAGACAGGTGAGCAGGGCCTGCCTCCCCAGAGCTCCCCTCCTCGGCTGGCTGGGGTGGCTTGGCCAGGGCCGTCACACTCCACACACTTCTTTCCCCACCCTCACCTACCCTGGCGTCCCCCTCCGCCCTGGTGGCCACTCTTCCAGGTTGCTCCCACATGAGTGCAGCTGAGTGCCAGCACCCTGCGCCCTCTCTGAAGGAGGGAGGGGCATAAGGTGGCTAAGATCAGGGAGCAGGGATCTGGGCCCAAGCCAAACACCCCCGACCCTCACAGCCAGCCTTCTAGAAGATTCCTTGGTTTCAGCCCCACCATTGCCCTCAGAGATGTGGCCGCTGTCAGTCGGTTTGTAGAGCCCCACCCCTCACAGAATGCTGCATGAGAGCTGTGGCTCTACAGGAACCCCGAACCCACTCGGATCACTCACAGGCCTGCAGCTGCTGTATAAGCAGCACTCCCGTACGCTTGTCTGGTTAGTCTAGGAAGGCTCCTGCAGTGTACCGACCCCCTGTGCAAATAAAGACTCACCCTGGTGGTCCTGTAACCCTGCTCCTGGCTTATTTCGTGGGTAGTGTGGGCTCTGAGTTCCTGCAAATCCGCTCAGGAGTCTCATCCAGTATCATCCCACAGCATCGAGATCACTGGCAGAGCTGTGCTTTGCCACTTCATGATTTCCATCGAGCAAAAGAACCCTCAATCGCTTGGCAATATTGCTACATAAACCATGGTAGCCTTAAACTTGCAGTGATCCTCCTGCCTCAGCCTCAGAGTGCTTGGGATTACAGGCAGGGACCTCTGTGCCTAGTTCACAAATAATTTTCTGTAGCTAAGATTATAGTTATAGAGCTGCAAGACATAGTCTCTTCAGAAGTGTATCCCAGCGTAACTCAAAAGAGTGCTACGTCTTTTATTTAACCCAAATAATTATGCTGATTCCTCCATGATGGGATGACAGTTGGGAAGCTACATGCTACTATGCCCTGGGGCTAGGAATTCCACCAACATGTCCACGGCCTTACAACTTCTGTTAAATTAAGCAACAGAACCATCCATCTTTCAGAGAAAAGCAAAAACACTCACACAATACATTAACCCTAAAAGAAGACTTTCCCCATCCTCTTTCAGTCCAAGACATACTGCCAAAGGAAGGAAAGTAGGAGAATTGGAAATGTTTCTTCCGTTTATACTTTTCTAGTAATTATCCAATTAACTATGGTTTTAATGGGGTAAAGAAACATTATGTCTCTTTCTATCAAACATTCTGTATCCAACTTTGTAGGTCACATCCTTTCACATGTAATTTTCCATACCCAAGAGGAGTACTTTTTGAATATGAAAGATTGGTACCAAATCTGTGAAATATTCAAATCTAGCTGTTCAGTATGAGAGACATTACCTTTATTTGATCATTGACCGCTTACCTAAGTATAAAACATATATTCTAGCCAAGCATGGTGGCAGTGCCAGCAATCTCAACACAGGGAGGCTGAGACAGGAAGATTGCAACTTCAAGCCCAGCTTAGGCAACTTAGCAACTTAGAGAGACTCTATCTCAGAATATAAAACAAACATGTAAAAGGTCTGGGATTTAGCTCATTGTGAAGGACCTAGGTTTGATCTCCAGTACCACAAAAAACAAACAAAAAAACCCTCAATGCTAAACACATAGTTGCTTGCAAAGATTTACTATAAAAATATTATGTAAAATAATACTACATTAATACTTTTTATCATGTTTAATAATATTTACAAATAACACTTTAGATACATAGAGTGAGCATATTATTAAAATTATTTCATCTGTTTCTGCTTCTTAATGCAGATGTAGTCTCTGCTCTTGTCCTGCAGTGTGTATCTACCAGACAATGCTAGTGTAGATGTCAATTCAGTCATGAAAAAGGAATCTTCTTTTCTGGCTTTTTGAGATAGGATCTCACTAGGTAGCCCCAGCTGAACCCACCTTGCAGTTATCCTTTTGCCTCGGCCACGCAGGCGCTGGATTGCAAGCGTGCTCCTCCACGCGCAGCAGGAATGCTGTCTGATCTGGAGTAGTAGAGCTGACTGAGCAAGGATCTCCAGTGGCCGTGAGCATCGGACATATCATATATCTACTTGCTTACTTATTCATTATTTCTCCTTTCCCTGACTAGCAAATAAAACTGATAGAAATAAAATGTTATGGGGATGTTCACCTAGAGTGTGTGAAATGGCTGAAAAGGTAAACTATATCTGCCATTATGAGCACAGCTTAGCATGAAGGCCACTTCAGGTTTTGTTTCTTTTCTTGAGACAGTCTCACTATATTGTTAAACTGGTGTTGAACTCACTATGTAGCCCAGTTTGGCCTCAGATATTTGGGGATCCTCCTGCCTCAGCCTCTGGAGTGCTGAGATTACTGTGTATATCACCATGTCTGGCAGTATTTAATTTTTAAAACTATGGTTATTGACCAGGAGTGGTTAAGGAGCTGAGGCAGGAGGAATCTTGAGTTTGGGGACAACTTGGACTACATAGCAAGAACTGCCTCAAAAACCAAAAGAGAAAGAAGACAGGAGAGGGTAAGAGAGGACAGGACAGGACAGGACAGGACAGGACAGGACAGGACAGAGGAGGGGAGGGGAGGGAAGGGGAGGGGGAAGGAAAAGAAAAAAGAAGAAAAGAACCATACGTTTCTGTGGCTGGTAGTGAAACAGTTGTAATATGTCTGTGGAGTAGGACACTGTTACTCTGGAAAAACTGCCCCCCTTGAGTAGGTAATACGCAAATTCTGTGGCATTTTATGTGAAGGACTAAGCATCTGCAGATTGTGGTATCCATGTGGACCAAGCCCCATGAGCACCAAGGGCTAAGTATATACGCACGTCTGCATAATACACACACACACATGTGCACACACATGTCCTGTCAATGTTATATGCGGGGTCTCTGTGAGTGGGGAAAAATAAGATAATCTGAACCTCCCTGCCTTACCTCACCCTGTGAACTGGACCTGGAACCCCCTTTCCACAGGTTAGAATCCCACTCATCCTTGAAGGAAAAATGTGGGGCATGCCACGAGCTCTGTGGAATCTGCCCACCCTTCATCACACATGCCTTTCACTATGCAGTGAAGCCCAAACCCTTTTCACAAGCACACGGTTGGGCTGGGGGTGTAGCTCAGGGTAGAATGCTTGTCTAGCAAGCACAAGACCCTGGGTTTGATCCATAACATTTCAAACTTTAAATAAAAAATAAAAACATGTACTTACTGTCCTATTTCTTCTCCCTGTGCCATGAGGACCTCAAGAAGCTACATTTGCTGGTGTGAGGAAGACCTGGGGTTCAATCCATAGTATTACTGAGGGGAGGAAGACTATATTCTATTTATCTGCCATTCTCTGTATTCTCTTTGTTTATAATAGGCACTCAATTATATTTGTTGGATAGAATTTAAAAACAAAACTAACACTGAAAAATTTTTAATTTTTTTTATTTTAAAGAGAATAGTAAGAAAAAGAAAAACAGCAAAATTCCACCATCACAGACATAAACAAAACAAAGCAAGAACATTAAAAATGATACAGGGTTTCAAAACAAAATGATAGGAATTAGCAGTGGTTGTTATATTACATAAAAACTGTTTTAACACTTTTTCTTCTATACCTACTTTGAAACAGATGTCTAAGCAGAATTTATTCCCAATTTAAATAGAGCTTGCACTACGTAAACTAGCTGTGTTTTGGTGCGCATAAACTTATCCTGCCTACCTATTTATTCTTGCAATTTTGGTGGCATTGTTTTAGTTTAGGGATTGAACCCAGGCCCTTCACACTAAGCTATATTTCCAGACCTTTCCTTAAGACAGGGTCTGCTCAATCACCAAGTTTCCCAGGGTAAGCTTGAATTTGACATACTCCTGCCTCAACCTCCCAGAACGCTGCACGTATAGGAGTGCACGACCATGCCCAGGTATTCTGTCCATTAAATTTCCCCAGTGAGGTAGGAACTTTATTCATCACCACCCCTAGTATCTCTTTCAGGGCTGTGGGATCTCCAGCCAGAGGACCCCCTTAGCCGGTTCATTTGCTCTCTCCAACAACATTCTGAGCAGTGACCCTCACTGTGACCCCCGGGCCTCACTCCAAGGCATTGTCTAGGGCTGAGCCAAGATGTGGGCCCCTCCCCGCCCCTACAGGTCCCCACTGCCTCCAAGTAATCCCCAGGAGATTTGTTTTAATATGAAGAAAAAAATGTAGAGAAGAATCTCTTCTTTGTTTTCATTACATACTGAATGTAAGTGGAAAAAATAAGTCACCTTGTTAAAGTCTCTGTTTGTTAAAATTGTTCTGCAGGAAGAAAATGTAGGTTTCTTCAAGGATCTTCCCCAAATATAGTTTTGAGGTAGAGAAAATTAAAAACAAAACAAGAAACAAAAACATTGCCCGGATACCTCTCACTGTTCCACCCGCCATTCAGTCCTTCGAATGCCGTCTCCTTACCAAAGTGAGCCAGAGCAAGGCTCATAAACAAGGCACCTCCCTGACCCAGCCCTAAACAGCCTTTCTGGACAGGGTCTCCTGATGGGTCCTCTCCCTGGGCAAAAGTGCAGAGAGCACAGAGAGTCTTTGGAGCTTAGCTACAATCCAAGTATTGGGCAAGCAATGGATCTAATTGTCGTGCTAGCTTCGTCAGCAAAATAACAGATGTACAGTGTAATGGAGAAAAAAAAAAGGTTGCTGTTGGATTGTTAGAGCAGGTGCTACATGAAAAAAACATCATGTGGAGCTTTCTCAAGAGCATTTGGAAACAGTTGGCAGGCAGCCAGGAGGAGGGCTCTCCTTCAGTCCCGAGGACGTCCAGTTGTGCCTGGGATTAGGCTCCTGAGCAGCTGAGCCAGTGGCACACTGACACCTTGTCATTTCTTCGATTCTGTATTCCTCGCTCACCCTCCAACAAGGGCACAGCGTTTCCCTATACACACACACACACACACACATATATCCTGTCTCTCTTTCTCTCTCTCTCTCTCTCTCTCTCTCTCTCTCTCTCTCTCTCTCTCTCTCTCTGTCTCTCTCTCTCTCTCTCTCCAGCTGCCAGGTCCGGCTTTCAGAGAACACCAGGCAGAGTTGCCTCACAGGCCAGGGCAAAGGCGAGTTACCATGGTTCTCTGGCTACCATTGTGCCTGGCACATCGGGGGATGGAAATAAGTGTGCACATGTTCTAAAAGGCCCTTTGGGAAAAAGCCTGGGGCTGCATGGGGACACAATGGCAGGCTTTGTTGCAGAGAAAGGATTTGGTCTGGCAAGCAACCGCAGTCCTGCTGGACACAGGGTCTGTCTGCAAGGGAAGTATGGGAAAACCATGTGCAGGGTTTACTGAGCACCCTCATTAGAAAAAGTAGGGCATTTAGCATAATTAAAAGTCATCCTGAGCATCAGGTAAGAGCCTGCTGTTTTTAATTAATTGCTTCTATAATCCTGCAACTTTAGAAGGTTGCTGCTTTTGCCCATAAACTGTTAGGATTCTTCCAGAAACACAAGGCATTCCAAGGGGAGGGAAGAAAGCATACTGACAAAGGTAAAAAGAGGAAAGAGAGAAGAGAAACCAGGGAGAGAGAGAAATGAAAATTATGAAGAGTCGCTCATCTCTCGTGAAAGGGAGGAATCCTGCTGTCTTTTCAAGCTCTGGCCTGAACATCCTCACATCCAAAGTACAACTCCCTGCTGGTCTGCATCCTGCCCAGATATATAAATTATTTGGGAAAAAAATTCCTAGAGTCAAGGTTAACAGAAAACAGCTGGGAAACGAACTATGAGCCATATGTCATAGATTTCTCCAAGCACGGAGATGTTTTTAAACTGTTTTGAAGAGTCAGCATCCCAAACCCAGCAGGATAAATCAAGGACTTTATGTGATCTCCATGTACACAAGAATAAATATGATAAAGACTATAACGGTGTCAGTCCCACAAAGGGGAAGGACAAAGCAACACAAAAAATCCTGCTTGGATGATTTTTTTCTCCCTTCAATGTGAAATCCCCAGACTAAGTTATATACATAATTACTATGGCTCTTCGCTTCTCTTACGCATAGCTGGAGGAGGAATGATTGTATTTTAAAGAATACTTATATTTAAACTTTATAAACCAGAAAGTTCATCATATAAACTATCAAGTATATTGTATGAAGTATATAGTCTCGGCACATTAGAGAACTTTGATGATAATAAATGATTTGAAAAGAAGAATATCACTGGCCTGAATCGTACAAATTATATTATTTTTATTCATATGCTTGCTCATTTTTTCTTATACTGTATAGAGTGTATTTTGCTTTCCTCATTTAATACAGCAAGTATCTTCCAGTGTCAGGACAGCATACTGAACACTCTCCCAGGTGCCTGAAAACTACATCTTCCTTTTTACAGAAGTTGCACACGTATGTGTTTGTGTGTGCACGTGTGCGCGCATGTGCGCGTGCGCGGAGAGAGTTCACGAAGGCATTTCCAGAACGTTGCCCTTCCGGAGAGGTGCGCAGCAGGCAGGCAGTGGCCAGGGTGGGGGATGGGGGCATAGGAGAAACGGGTGATGAAAGTGCTTTGAATGAAATAATGGGGATGCTTGCACAAGTATCAAACATACTAAAATCCACCAAATTGTACACTTGTCCTTCTTCTGGTTTTTTTTATTTTTATTTTTGTGATTTTGAGATAAGGTCTCACTATGTAGCCCAGGCTGCCTGGAACTCTCTCCTTCTTCCTGTCTCAGCTTCTTGGGTGATGGGATCATAGGTGTGTGCCACTGTGCCCATCAAGGTAGATGGAGTTCAGTTCAGTTTACATCAACACCTGTCACACAAAAGCTATGTGAGACGAATCGTGGTGCCCCCAACAAGCCGAGTCCAAACTGGGAAGCAGATCGATGTGAACACGTGTGTGCAGTGGGAAGTGCCAGAGACAAGCAGGGAAAAATGCAGAAGGCCCACGGCCCTAGTCGGCTTCCAAGCCGGTAAACAGAACTGTGCACACAAGATTCAAAACTCACCAGGCGAAGGCTTTCAGAAAACAGCTGTTCATTGTAATTAAGCAATTACTGGCTGATTACTGAAACTAAAACTTCCAGTCATATTCTGTGAGGTTTTAATGACCATTCCACAGAACAAAACACCACTTTGGCATTTGTAATATTTCCGCTAAAGCTACCTTAAAAGATATGTGAGAAAAAACCCAAACACATAGGTGTAACCATTTTTACTTTTTGTGATAACATTCCTTTCAAAAGGCTGTGAGCAAGCCAAGGACAGTGGGGTACACCTGTAATCCCAGCACTCTGGAGGCTGCGGCTGGAGGATCGAAAGTTCAAGTCTAGTCTAGGATTGAACTAGTGGCATAGCAAGACCTGTTTCAAAATCAAATGTTAAAAAAGGGCTGGGATGCAACTCATTGTGAAGGTCCTGGGTTCAGTTCCATATCGCAAAATAAATAGATAGGCATGGGGAGAGAAGGTATAATGTAGACTATTTAAAGCAAGAACTTCAGTTGCAAAACATAGTAGTGCTGTACTTTATCTTATAGTGTGGTTACTGGTCTCAGGTGTCTGATAATTTTCATACTCTTAATGTTACCCCCTGTGATTTTGCATTTGCATATGTCAAATTTTGCTAGTTTCTAATTGCAATTAATGTTCTCATAACGCCCTTTATGATATAAGTTCATCTAACCCTATCTGCTTTCTCACGAGGTCTAATTGCTGTGTGTTCAATGTCTTATAATATTAAAAGTATCGTGTTGCCAAATAAACCTGGGAAAGTGGTGTCTACATGGATGAGACCATGTGTGTTGGGTTCTAGTCCTCTGCGTCACTCACCATCTATGCCAGAGGAGATAATCCGGTTAACTCCAGTCAGCTATAGTTGCCAACCATCCTCTCTCAGGCACTCAGGAACAGAGACAGAGAGTGGACCTTGCTGTTAGCTACTGCACTTGCCATCCAGAACTCCAGGGTTTCCTCTTAACCACATTCTGACAACAAATCAAGATAAGTGATTCCCAGAATCATAGAACTTCCTGAACAGAAAGGATGATGGAGATCATCTGAGACCCATATAATAGCTGAAGGTCACAGAGAGTTTTGTGTTGCAATGTAGAAAGCGGTGGTAAAATTATGATCAGAATCTGGAGTAGACTGCATCACTATTTTCAGATATCCCCTCCCCTTTCCTGTGAAAGGGAATTAGGTGACTCCACCCATTGCCCATAACAAATACTGCGTCTTTCAGGGGAGGATGTGCCTCTTCCCACTGACACTAGCTTAGGCGCCTGCCTTGCGTGGCCATGAGCATTTACAGGAATATCTCCATCACTCTCCTCACTGCCTGGACACAGTTCCTGGCACCAGCAATCGAAAGGAGAAGAGGTTGGTTTGGGTTCACCATTGCATCCCATGGGCATTGGGCTCCAGTGCAGAAGCAGCTGGTGTCAGAGCCTGGCCGAGGAACAGCAGAGAGTGAAGGAAGGAGCCGGGGAGATAGACACACCCTTCCAGGTCGCCTTCCCACTGACCCACACCCAGCCAGGCCCCCTCCTAATGACACACTCACCTCTGAACTCATTAGAAGAATCCATTGATGAGTATAGCACCCCATGATCCCAAAAGCCCAGCCTCTGAGCACATGAAGGCAGGTGGGGGCAGGGTAGTCTTGATCTAATCCATCTAAACCAGGAACACTGTCCTGGAGGGGAGGCTCTTTCAACATGGAATGCAGAGGACACTTGGAGCAGACATGCATCTGACTCAGCTTCTCACATGCCAAGAAAGTGAAAAACACTTCATCATTGTTAAGAACTGAGATTTTCAATAGTTTTCATTATGAGACAAACCCTGATAAACTCAAGACACAAGACACGTTTGCACTTTTGGGTAGCTGACTGTCAAAGCAAGAAGCACAGGCTGCAGAGGCCCACACCTGTAACCCCAACACTGAAGAAAGCTGAGACAGGAGGACTGAAAGCTCCCGGCCAGCTTTAACTGCTTAGCAGTTTCAAGGCCAGCCTGGGATAGCGATCCCGTGGCCATGCTCACCAAGAGTGGCTCTTCCCAGTGTGCTCCGGTGGATGGAGCTGGAGATTATGTGAGGGTCGCTCCTTTTCATCGCCTGGCCTCTTTCGAGTGCCTGTTATCTTGGGTGAGATGGAGGATTCTAGCGACAGCTCCACAGGGTTCTTATCTTGGGCTCATGTGGACTCCTTCATCCTTGGTCTCCTTAAGTAGCCCTTTTAATGTGATGGCAAATGCTGTCAACATCCCACACCTGTTTTGTATCCTGTCCAGGAAAAAATCTGTTCAGGGCTTCAGGAACTCACTTTTTACTCCTAAAACACTTCATCCATGCTTCCCTTCCTCCTTTAGCCATTTTCTTCCAAATTTAATTTCAAAATTGAATCTTTACTCCCATTACTCAAAATTAGAACCTCTATCCGGTTATGATTTCCTTTAACCTCTATGCCACATTTGTACCACAAGGCATAGATTTTTCTATATCCAACTGAATCTTTGCTCTGTATTCACTCTTAGGCAGTTCTAGGTCTTTCCATTATAGCAAACTAATATAGTTTTGAGGAGTCTAGGCATGGTGGCACATGCCTATAATCCCAGCTAGTCACAAGGTTGAGAAGGGAGGATTGTGAGCTTAAGGCCAGCCTGAGCAACTCAGAAAGACCCTGTCTCAAAATAGAATTTAAAGTAGACCAGGGCTGTAGCTCTTTGTATCGTACTTGCCTAGCATGTGAAAAGCCCTGGGTTCAGTCTCCAGTACCAACACACACACACTGAAATTCTGAAATTTGAGGGTGAGGCAAGAAAGGTGACAGGCGAGGGGCTGGGGATTTAGCTCAGCGGCAAAGCGCCTGCCTGGCAAGTGCAAGGTCATGAGTTCAGTTCCCGGTACCGGAGAAAAACAAAAAAAAAAAAAAAAACAGAAGCCGAAAGGTGACAGGTGAAAGGATCAAAGTGTGCTATGTATAGGCCTGACTCTGCCAAAGTAAAACCCATTAATTGGTACAAGCAATAAAAAGAGTGAAAATTTTAAAAAAGCTTAATGTTGAGCCCTATCATATCTAGTACTGTGGCCCTTGCCAGCGCTCAGTATGTGCTGAATTATCCTCACAATGATTAATTATTTTGTCTGATAGGGAGTTACCCATCTTTATTAACTCAAAGTTGGAATTTGTAATTTGGGAATTTGGAAGATACACAAATAATATAAGTGAAAAATTTGGGTTGAATATTCATAGTACACAGCCACTTAATTAATAGATAAATGTTTTCTCCAAACTATAGGAAACCTTCATCTAGTTTAAAGATAATTTATTAATCTATAAATGTTACCACACACCAAGATAAATCCCAAAGTGATCAAAGATTTAAATACAAAAAATAAAATCATAGAATGTTTAAAAGGAAGCATTAGAAGAATCATAATACATTATAACCTCTGAGTACAGAATCTAACTCAAAATTTATAAACTACAAAAAAATTGATAAGTTTAATACTTGAGACATTTTTGAAGCACAAACAAATGACAAGCTAGTAAAAAAAAAACCCTTATAAATTATAAAGTTCCTCTTCCTAGTATATAGCAAGCTCATAAAAATCAATACTATAAGTAACAACAACATAAAATGGACAGAGTAGAAATATAAATGATTCTTGGGTATATAAATAGAGATTGGCCTCAGTCATAATAACAGAAGTACAAAATAAAATTACATTGAAATATTATTTTTAATCTAGGATGTCTTAGTTACATTTAGTTGCTGGGACAAAATATCTGATACCCACAAGTTAAAGGAGGAAAGGGGGTTTTTTGCCTCACAGTTTGTAGAGGTTTCAATCTACAGTCACTTGGCTTTGAGGCAGGGCTGCATAGCAGAGCGGCATCACAGAGAAGAAACAGTCCATGGCAGAGCAGGCAGGAGGCAGTGAGCAGCAAGCATCAGCAAGCCTCCCTTTCTCTTTTAGCCTACGCAGATTACAAGCCTTTTGGGTGGTGCCATCCACACCCGTGGTGGGGCTTCCATTATCCACACTGAGAACTGTGCTAAACCAATTTAGTTATCACACACTGCTAATCCTGCTATCACATACCTTAACCCAGCATCACACACCCATGATCTAATCACCTCTCAAAAGCCCCATGTTATGTGTGTGAGGCTTTTAGGGACCTCTAGATATACCATAACAAATATAAATAAAATAAATAAATAGGGCTGGGGTGTAGCTCAGTGCAAAGGAACTAGGTGTAATCCCAAGTACAGCAAAAAGAAAAAAGAGAAAGATGGGGGGGGTCAGGAATAGGGAAATTATTTCTGAATACTTTTTATCCTTTTTAATTTTTGAAGCATGGGATGATACTACCATTTCAATATTTTTATTTATTTATTTAATTATTTATTTAGTTTGTAATTCTGGGGACTGAAATCAGGGCTCTGTGCATGCTAGGCAAGTGCTTTGCCCCTAAGCTACCTGCTCAGCCCTTTTTATTTTGATATAAGGCCTTGTTAGGCCAGTAGCCCAGTAGCCCAGTCTGGCCTCAAACTTTCTATCCTCAAGTGTCAACCTTCCAAACAGGGAGATCACAGGCATGCACCGCCACAGTGCATGGTCAGTGGTACTGGGCTGAATTAGGAAAGCAGGTTAGTTTAGTTTTTCAACGTCTGCTTAACATTAATCCCAGTAGAAATATTCTTTTCTTTTCCTTTTTAAAGTTTACTCTGGAGAGACGGTGTGAGTTACATCAACACTGCATCTCACAGCAATGCTCAGCAAAATCCCAGTGAAGATTGCACAAAGACATTGGAAACATGTGGGTCCTGGATGTACTTTCTAGCATCCTCTTAAATGTATGAGAAGAACTTTGGAACAGAGAAATTTATATCTTGGTATTATGATACATTTCCCATAGTCTCTGAAGAAATAATGACATTTTGCATTTTTTTTATAGCAAAAGACTTAGTGGTTAGATAATCTATCTTCAAATGTCTTGTTTCACATTTGGTCAGATAGGATGAGGATAGTGCTATGCTTCTTTAGAAATCATTATGGACCCATTGTATAAAATATTTTGAACACTTGGGTAAAGATTGATGCCTTCCAGTTAGGATCACTACCCAGATACCTCATAGTAGGAACTAATTGGTTAAGGCAGAAGTGAGGGGTAGCCTGCAATGGTGACTGAATATACTGACAAACGGGGTAAACAAACAGGTCGCCCTGCAAGTCAGAGTTATAGGCACAAAGACACATAGAAAGATTAATAGAATGCAGTTCTTGCCCAAAAGAGTTTAAACTTAACATAGCAAGTAAGATAGGGGGACAGTTAATCATGATACAAAGCAGAATATAGTAAGTTGTCAGGAACCAAATTTATGGACCACAGAGAAATTACTTCCACCTGGACAGCTGCAATGTCATGAAAAATAAGAACTGCAAAGTAAAAACTTGCAAGCATTCCTTCAAGACTATGTAAGGAAGAGAGGCGTTCGGAAGATTTCCAGCCACTAATGAAGACAAAACAGCATCTCTGGCTCTACCAACGCCTATATTAAAAAAAAAAAAAAAAAAAAAAAAAAGAATATTCTTACTGATCTTGGATATCTTAAGCCCTCAGATTATCTAGAGTCATCCAATTTTTTAAATGATTTATTCTTTTTTCTTTCTTTCCTGGGCCAGGGATTGAACCTAGGGCTTTTGCATGGATGTATATCTCTGGCCCTTTTTTATTTTGAGACAGGGTGTCGTTAAATTGCCTAGGCTTCACTCGAACTTCCAATCCTCCTGAAAACACAAGATTTCAGAAGCTTCTAAGAGGAGTACTACATTCTTGGTAGGAAGCTGAGGCAGGAGGATTGCCAGTTTGAGCTCAGCCTGTACAACATAGTATTTAGCAAAATCTTGCTGTCTCAAAGTTTAAAAAGTGCCCGGGATGTAGCTCAGTGGGAAGCCCTGACTCTAATCCTCAGTCCTGACAACAAGCATGAGCAGCACGCAGGGTTCGGAGACCTTATGGAAAGGTGTGCAAGGGACAGCAGCTCAGTCAGAAACAGGAGGCACCCACCTCTTCTATCACAGATTTCCCTTTGATGGCAAATTTTAGTGCTTTTGCAAAATAGTATTTCATAAGCCCACAGACATGAAAAACATTAAAAAGCCAGGCATGGTGCCACACAGCTGTAATCCCAGCACTTGGGAGGCTGAGGCAGGAGGATCACTGCAAGTTTGAGGCCAGCCTGAACTACACAGCAAGACCCTGTCCAAAAAAAAAAAAAAAAAAAAAAATTTAAAATATTTCTTGGGGCAAATACATGTTTTTACAACAGGGTGACCAAGACAGTTATAACAAGTCTACAATCCATACCTGAAGAAGATCGCATAGCTTGACAACAGTCGGGCACAGATGGATCTTCCAACCAGTCATTAAATAGTGATAAGCCAGCTTTAGGCCATCTCTTTTTGTTTGATCAGAAAGTAGAATGTTATACATAAATACTGTACAGCTTAAGAGACATTCACAATTTTCTATGATTCCATGGGATACTTCTAAAACTGCGCTACACTGAGTTAGGAATTACAGAGAAATAAATCCTCTGATTAAAGCAGATAGCAAAAAGAAGTCTAATCTGAGCTAATTTTAAAAGTAAAATGTGTAGCACTCTGATGACAGTGACCTAATTTAGAAAAAGAGGATCATTCATGGAGGCGCTATGGGCACCATCTCCCCGTGCTAATCCTCCTGACCCTGCAGACCCAGAGCAGGCTGAGATGGGAAACTCTCCCCCAGTTTCCCCCAGCCCTGAGAGCTCGGCTCCTTCCCTCCCTGTGCCCTGCCCTGCCCAGGCCACAGCCTCTCCATCATCCCACTCTTCTTTCAGCGTCATGCCATGAGTTCTCAACTAAACTTTAAACTGGAAGAAACCACTTCCTTATTTGAACTCTAATTCTAGGCCCTATTCAGAGTTCAGTTTTCACGGACCAGCAAAGTTACCAAGTCCCACACATGGCCGGCATTCTTCTGTAAGGCCTCCCTCTCTGGTAAGGGACAGGAACACTTCGGACTGCAAACAGCGGCCAAGACCATGTGCTTCGTGGGTGCTGTCTTGTTGCAAATGAAATCCTGGCTTTCCTACAACAGGTGCCCTATCTTCTGGCTCTGGCTAGGCATGCCTGAAACAAGAAGGGACCTGCATTACCACCCGCAAAGGGTGGCACAGACATGGCTTCCGCCCTGCAAGGAAGCAGGCGATGTGGATGTGCCTTCTCCCACAGGGGTGCGGGGAATCACTGCCGCAGAGTTGGGGCAATGGCCAACGCGAACCCTAGGGACGTTCAGGTCAAGGGCGCTTGAGCCAAGTTCTCATATGCTCAGAGACTCCGGCTGAATGCTGGTCCTTCCACACACTGTCTGCTGTGAAAATCGTATTGTAATTGTGAGCCCCAGTGTATCCTTTGTCCTTAACCACAGCTAAGTCACTCAGAGTCTTTCTCTGTCCCTCCCCCTCCCTTGGTCGCCTGTGAATAGCACAGACTTGCAGCTACCTCAAAGCGTTACTGGAAGGATTCATAAGTATGTTAAGTGCTTTGAAGATGAAAAGCAATATATAAATGCTTAAGTATTACTATAAAAGTTCACTAAATGAGCTCATAGCATGTGATCAAGATGGAATGCATGTGAATACACAATCCATGGATAGCCAAACAACTAAAGAAGCTTCAGCTAAGTCTCATAACCCACAGGATCGGACGTTTTCAGACCCGCAGAGCTCTCAGATATCATCCACGCACGACTCTCATTTTACAGATGGAGCAGAAGGAGCTCACGTGTGGCCAGTCCGAAAGCACTCAGAGGAACAAGCACGGTCCGGGACCTGGAGCCTAGCATCCTCAGGGCCAGCCGGCGCTTCTGCAACCACGCTCGGCTCTGTCTGCGAGGTGTCAGACTGGGCGTGAGGGTATGCATCTGTAATCCAGCACACAGCAAGCACAGACAAGAGGATAGGAGCTTGAAGCCAGCCTCGGCTATGGAAAGAGAGCTTGTCTCAAAGATAAATAAATACATAATTTTAAAGAGTTGTGTTGGTGGCACATGCATGTAATTTAAGCACTCTGAGAACCTGAGGCAGGAAGATGGAAAGTTTAAGCCCAGCTCAGGGAACTTATGGGCTCTCCCAAAATAAAAAATAATAAAATAAAAGTCCAGGGACTTCACAGCTCAGTGCAAAGGCCCTGGGTTCGATTTACACTATGCTGAGACAGAGAGGAGAAAGAAAGAGACAGAGACAGAGAGACAGAGAGGATGTCAAACATACGGATAAAAAATACTATCCTAGTTGAAATGTTGGTATTGTCACATACATGGATATTGAAAAATATACTGACTTGAGACTGAATTCTTTTTCACTCTGAAAACAAGTTTCACTCTGACTGAATGAATGTCTTCCTGTAAATATAGCCTGATTTTTATCTGTATAATCAAAACTATTTCCCTGTGAGAGGAATAGGTGCAAAGAGTTCCATCTATACTCATGTGCTCATGGTCCTCAGAAATATGCAAGGCTACTCTGAAGAGTAGGTAAGTTTTAGTTGGTAAACAGGAATGAGGAAATGTCTTTAGCTGACACCATCCAAAACATCTGGAGAAGTTCCCATTGACACTGGTCCCTGACCTGACCGCTGTTCTTTGAAAAATGTCACAAATGACAGTCTCACGCTACTTTGGAATTACACCTGTATTTATTTATTTGCTGACTTACTTAGGCACTGGGGACTGAACCCAGGGACCTCCCCCTAATCTACATCCCCAGCCCTTTTATTGAGTCAAATTCTCACTAAAATGCCCAGACTGGGCTGGAAATTTTGATCCTCTGTCTCAGCCTCCCAGAGTGCTGCAATTAAAGGTGTGTACCCCCACACCTGGCTTTGGAATTCTGTATTTTTAAAAACAGATATGTCAAAGTATCAACCCAGGAGGTCTTAACTCCAGCACCACGTAGATTATCACTTGGCAAGACAGCCCCTGCTCTGGGACACTGGTCAGGAATGTACCCCAGTGTCACCCACTCATTAGTCTCCTGGTTTGATGAAGTGACCTTAAATCTCTGATGCAAAAACTATTGGACCTCAAACTTTGAGCAGACATTTTGCAGCCATGTGAGGGGGGTGGTTTGATAAAACACAGATTTCTGGCTCTCTCCCCAGGGTTTCCGATTCCCTAAGGCTAGGCTGAGCCAGACTAATTTGCATTTCTAACCAGCTCTCAGACGATCCTCATGATTTAGCACTACACTTTGAGACCTGCCAGGGCTAAAGAAAAACCAAACAAATAGGAGCTGACAAATCATTTCAGCTCGGGTCTTATTACCTACCTGGGTAGAGACCTGCCCATAGGACAAAGAGGTGGTAATTACCCAGATTCAATTAGTTCCTAAGCCTGGAATTTACAAATTAGCAAGACAAAATCTGACCCACAAGTGTTTTTTCTAACTCATGTAGTAGTATTTTTATATTAGCTTTGTTGTCAACATTTAGAATTGATGACATCATTTAAAATCCAAGTTCTGGCTTCTCTTGGTAAATCAACAATCAGCCACTGCACAACATGGGGCCATGGAAGCCCCCTTTAAATGGGGAGCAGCACGGGAACCACAGCTCCCCCAGACTGGCTTTGCTTGTTCAGACTGCCTCCTGCTCGGGGCTTTGTGTTCCTGGGTAGATAATGAATTTCTAAATACATACTTTTTAGGGTTAGTTATCTTAACTACATCCGTGTTATTAAATAAACTTAGCACATCACTGTTCATTCCATTTTGTCATCGTCTGTTTGAAAGCAGTCTATTAACAGGAAGAACAGAACGGAATCTCATGTGTGGCTGCTATCCTTAGGACTGGCCAGGCAATTTTCCCATTTTTGACTTCATTTTAGAACAGCTAAATGTTATATTACTTAAGACGAGATCAGGCGTGCTCAGGGTGGAACAGCCATGGACTTATATTGCTTAAGTTTCACAGTAGTTCCAAAATAAGATTTGCTTTATAAATGGATTCTTTCAAGAATTGATACTTTACTTTGAGGCAGTCTCACCACGTAGTCCAGGCTGGCCTTGATCTGAACTCTTGATCCTCCTGTCTCAGCCTCCCAGGTGCTGCTGGGAATGTAAGGGTATGATGCCATGCCAGACTACCACCATGCCCGACTACCACCATGCCCAGCTCTATAATTTAGTTCTTCTTAAATTAATGAGTTTCTAGCATATGTACTACTTGGTTTCATTTTACTATATGAACCTTACTTTTCACCCAAAATTCCTCACTTTTTAAACTTAAAAATTGAACTTCTTTTTGTATACTTATTCAGCCCCTTTTTGAAATGATATAGAATAATACTAGGTTACATAATCACATCTATTCTTTATGTATTTGTGACATAATGAGCTTTCTGAGGAGCAGAAAAATTTGATCTTAGCTTGCTGTGCCCCCAAGACCAGCAGCACCAGCACCCTCAGAAAGTTGTTAGGAATGCAAGTGAAGTCCCACCCCAGACCACTGAGGCAGAACTGTGGGGAACTGGGCCAGATATCTGAGTTTCATCTCACTGTGTGAGAACCCAGTGCTAGGAACCAAACCAAGGGTCTTCACACCAAGCTACAATTCCAACCCTTTTCTTATTTTTTCTTTTGAGACAGAGTTTTGCTAAGTTCCCCAGACAAGATTTGAACTTGCTATCCTCCTGCCTTGGCCTCCCAGAGTGCTGGGGTTACTGGTGTGGCTGCCACACCCAGCTCCCTCAAGTGACTCTGATGCAGAATAACATGTGAGGGCCACTACCTTAGACTATGGCATGGTTGCTTGGAGTTGGAAAGGTGTGAAGCCAAGGGACTTTGCGGAGAACTGCGTGAAGAATCCTAAACTGTTACTTTGCTCGGTCAGCGCTGCTCTCCGCAGCCGTCCTTGTCAGAGTGTGGCGTCTCCCTCACCTTTCTGAAGGAGATTTGTGTTTTAGGGTTTGCTTTCACAGCCAGCGTGAGAATCATTTAGGAAGCTACAGTACCTACACACAGAGGCAAAGAGATGACCTTATGTTACCTCGTTCTTTATTTCATTTTTACTTTTATCCTTTAAAGTCAATCATGCGTGGCCATTTCAGGCAAGTAAGAATGAGTACTC